ACACACATACATACATACATACATACATACATACATACATACATACATACATACATACATATACATACAAATATTGAGATATCACCCAGCCCTAGTCCCTGATCTTCTTCAGGTTTCCTCTTTTACACAGAATGTAGTCAACCTGCATACTCCTTCCTTCACTCAGTCAGTCATTCTGTGTTCCTCCCTCTTTTGGAAATGTGTTGACTACAGCAATTTCCATTCTCTTGACAAAATCCACCACCATCTATTCTTCCTGGTTTCTTTCCTTGACACCAAACCTACCATCACTTTTTCCCCTCTGTTTCCTTCACAGACATGTCCATTCAGGTCTGCTCCGATCACCACTCTCTCCTCCCTGGGAATACTCTCTATCACTTCACCCAGATCCTTCCAAAATGTATCTTTCTCCTCCACATCCCATCCAACTTGTGGAGCACAACGACTGACATTTAGTTTCATATCTTCTACTTTCAGACACATCACTCACACTCTTTTTACCGCTATTACATTCTTTGCCAACTCCTCCTTCAGGACCACCCCTACTCCTTTTCTCTTTCTATCCACACCATGGTAAAACAGTTTAAACTCTGCTCCAATGCATAAAAATGGGGATCTTCCGGTTCTCCCCTGTGGTCTGATCTGGGGGGTGGGTGAGTGGTTCGTCCTGTGTGGGTGGCCCTGGGGGCTCCGCGGTCGGGGTCCCTCCTGGGGTCTTGGGCTCTGGTCCCCCTTTTTTTGTCTGCCTCTGGTCTTGAGGGTCGGGTCTCTGCTGCTTCACAGTTACTATTAAATGTTCTATTAGAGAAGCCTTATACACTTATGCATGCTCACAACCACACACGAATAGATGCAGGGATGCTTATGTAGGCTTTATATGTAGATATATAGATATATAGATATGTATATGAATGTATATTCATGTGTATGTATGTATATAGGCGAAGGTATGGGCATATATATTTATGGAAACTTACTGCAAAGCCATGAATATTTTAAGTTCTTTATACACATGTATTTTGTTGCTGTGTTTTGTCATGTTCTTTGCAGGTGAACAGACAGTGGCCGGGAGTTTTGCCGTGTGCTCTCTTTGTGTATATTTCTTATATTTTGGAGTCTTACTTTGTTTTTTCTTTCTTTCTATCCTATTAAAAAAAAAAAAACCTACACTAGATAGTCACTAGAATAAATATTTCATAATAATGGTGTGGAGAGGATGGCTGTAAGGGGAGAAGGGAGGCCATCTAAAAAAAATAAAATAAAATAAAAAAACTGCTCCAATGCTGCGAGCCTTGCTGCCCTTTCCCTTGGTCTCTTGGACACATAAAACATCTACTTTCCTTCTCTGCATCATGCCAGCCAGCTCTCTACCTTTGCCTGTCATTGTCCCTACATTTAGAGTTGCAACCCTCAGTTCTACATTCTTCACTTTCCTCTTCTCCCTCCGTCTCCTGACATGTTTCCCTCTTCGTGGTTTTCGACTAACAGCAGCACAATTTCCATCAGTACCCTGTTTGTCAACATCACTGGTGCCGGTCGTTGTTAACCCGTGCCTTGACCAATCTGTTATGGTGACACTTGATGAACTCGCATAATAGTTAGGCAAAAGTGTTTTACGTCCGATGCCCTTCCTGACACAACTCACCATTTACCTGGGCTGGCACAAGAGATACACTGGCTTGTGCTCTCTAGTGACTGGTTTCTTCATTCTTATGATTCATCTTTTTTTATTTTTCAGACTTAAGTTGAAAATACATAATAATCTGTTGTTTTTGGTTTCCCTTAATCAGTGACAAATGAAAAACGGATTAAAAGCAGTGGACAACCTGAAACTTCATCTGACAAACAGAAGGTAAGAAATGTCCAAGTAACATGATAATCATAAAATAAAATATGAAATTGTCCTAAGTTTTTAACTTTTTTCCAAATGGTATTTTAGTCAAATGATGGTGAAGATGCAAAAAGAGGAAAACAAGGCATAATGAGACAAATGGAATCACTGGCAAAAGAATTGGAGGGAATATTAAAACAGGATGGTAACAGACTTCTATTTTTTTTTTTTTTTTCTTATTTTCCTCCACATCTCATACTTTTTATTTCACTGGTGTTCTGTCTGTTTGCAGGAATGGGTTTTATGTCTCCAATAGTTGGGTTTTACTGCCAGAAGTGTGAAGAGTTCATTGGAGATTTTAATTCTGTTGAGAAACATGCGGAGATTCACCAGCATAGCAACTCCAAGAGTGTGAGTAGTTACTGCCTGTATGTTGTTCTAAATATTCTTTTTTTTGTTTTGTTTTTGATGTGCGTGTAAATGGCTAAATTGGCTGCACTTTTCTTGATCCAGTTTGACAGAGTCAGACCAGGATGAGTTTGTTTGGCTTGTTGAGGGTGCATATTGAACATTTATTTGACAAAGCAACAATAAAATTTTCCAACATTTTCCATTAAACTGCAACATTTTAATAACTTGTGTTGGTCATAGAGACGCCATATCATGATGAGCAAACCACACTTGCAATAAAACATGGTGGTGGCAGCAGCATTATTCTTCCTTCTTGAGGAAAATCTGTTTGAGTCTTCCAGAAATTTGAGTCTGGGACAGCAGATCAATGACCCTAAACACATCGCTGAAGAAACCCAGTGGTTTAAGGAGAAATCATTAAATGTCCTGGAATTGTACAGTTAAAGTCCAGACCTCAGTTCAGCGGAGAATCTGATTTGATTTAACGATTGTTGAATACAAGCAGCACAGATCCATTTCAAAAGTGCTGGAGCAGTTTGGTTATAAAGAATTAACACAAATTATAGTGATTACTAGATGTGCTAAACTCGTGGAGATGTAACTTATAACTTGTGACAGTAACTAGTGCAAAAGGAGGCACTAAAAGTAGTGATTTTTGGAGGGTTGAATAGATATGTGTGTACTATTTGTCAATTTATATTTGTTAAAATAAAGATTTCCCCATTTATCTTAAACCATCTCGAGTATCTTTTGTAGGTCCATTACTTATAATTAAATATAAAATACTTTTGAATTCCATGTTATAAGGCAACACAATGGAAAGATAATAAAGAATAGTGAATATTGTTGCAAGCTACCTAATTAAAAGCTGTCATTTTAATCACTTAAAAGAACAAAACACAAGTTTTCATTTAAATTTTTTTTTTTACCATACCATACCACTTTATTTATTGAGCACTTAAAACAGCGACAAGAACAACCAAAGTGCTGTACAGACAAAACAACAGGTAACACACAAAGCAATATACAAAATGAGGTAAATCAGAATATAGACATAAAAATGATGCAGATAATGACGACAAACCAGTGTGGAGCATACAGGTTCAAAACACAGATCATCTTGTGTTGAACGCCACCGAATAATAGTGAGTTTTTAAATGGGACTTGAAAACCGAGAGGGAGGGGGCCTGTCTGACAAACAGAGATAACTCGTTCTAAAGTTTTGGTCCTGCTACAGAGAAGGCCCTGTCACCTCTGCGCTTAAGACGAGTTCCTGGAACTGTGAGGAGCAACTGGTCCGCTGACCTCAGGGAACGCGGTGGGACATACGGTTGTAGCAAATCAGAGAGATGAGGGGGGGGCAAAACTGTTCAGTGATTTGTAGACATACATGAGTATTTTGAACTGGATTTGAAAGTGAACCGGTAACCAATGCAGTGAGGCCAAACTGGTGTAATGTGCTCTCTTTTGCCTGTACTGGTTAAAAATCGGGCTGCTACATTCTGGACCAGTTGTAGTCATGCAATGGAGGTCTGACTGATGCCAAACAGGAGCAAATTGCAGTAATCAAGCCTAGATGTAATGAATGCATGTATTACTGTCTCTAGGTTATTTTTGGATAATATGGGCTTCAGTTTAGACAGCTGCCTCAGTTGGAAGAAACATGATTTAACAATCATGTTTACATGATTGTTAAGCTTCAGGGAAGGGTCCATTATCACTCCCAGATTAGTGACTCTGTTTTTCTGACAGGGTTAGAGCGGAGAGGTCGATGCAGTGGTTTGTGATCGTGTCGTTGGGAGGGTGCTGGCCTGTTTCTGGGTAACTCCTGGTCGCTCCTCCTGCCTGGAGGAGAGCGTCCTCCCTCCACGGCAGTTTCCACGGGCACCCCAACAGCAGGCGTTGCAGGACTGGGAACCATGGTGCGCTCACGCGTTCGGGGCCACCAGGAGAGCTGTCAATCCCTCTTCCTGAACTCGGTGAAAGAACCGTAAAATCAGAGGAGGTGGAGAAAAACGCGTACAGAAGCATTTTGGGCCATGAGCTGTGGGCAAACGCATCCACCCCCAGCGGTGGTTCGTCTCGTGGGCTCAGAGAAACGCATAATTGACACTGAGCGTTTCTCGTGTCACAAACAGGCCCACAGCTGCTATATCAATCTGAGACAAAATGCTCCGTCAGAGGATGATTAAAGGTTGTTCTGTCTCCGACAACTTGAGACAAGAAGAAAACTTGGCTGCAGCATATGATAATCGTGCTGGACACCAGATTTCTGTCCATCGACTGCTGCAGAAAAGGACAGCATGTCGTCCAGTGGACATGAAGTGGCCTCTACGCCTTTCTCTGTACAGCAGCGTTGAAAAAACTGACCACTTGATGTGAACAGCGCTGTGGTGGTTGCAACACGTGACTCCTGAATCGTACGCACTACATCTTGAGAGAAAACCATCTCCTCAAAAAGATCCGCACAGCGGCCAGACCACAGGTGCTGGCCTATTCTGATTAATTCCTGATCGTTCCTCCCGTCTGGAGGAGAGCGTCCTCCCTCCACGGCAGGTTCCACGAGCACCCCGATAACATGTCGTAGGCCTGGGAACCATGATGCGTTCACACACTTGGGTCAGAGGAGCTGCCAGTACCTCCTCCTGAGCTCGGTTCAGAAAACCGTGATATCAGAGGGAGAGAAGAAGGTGAAAAGGCATTACGACCACAGGCTGTGAGCAGGCACGTCCACCCAGCGGTGGATCGTCCCGTGGCTCCACGATAATTATAATTGACATTGAGCGTTCTCTCGTGTTGCTACACGTCCACAGGCGCTGGCAGGATTTCTACCGTGTCTGAGCCATATCTCTGGGTGGAAGGTCCCAGGTCCCCGTGCCGCAAAGGACCGTCTTTGGACATCACATCCGCCCCTTGTTCGGAATACATGAGATGTACCCTACTCGAATGGAGAGCAGATTGAGTGTGCCCCACACAGCATCTGTCTCACAATGTGGCACATGGGTTGAGCGCATACATCTCCTGCCAGTATGTATGCAACAGTCACTTGCTGTCTGTGTGAATCAAAAAACCCTGATGATTCTGCAGCTCAAGGTCAGTGTTGAGGTCACATTCAAAGAACCCGTGCGACACTCCAAAAACATTTAAATGAGCTGCTGTGTGGAAAACCACAGCGGCCCCACAGCTTGTTAAATGTGTGTGCCTCTGTGAGAAACTGACATGTGTGACGTAGGTCTGCTGACGGAAAACAGCTGATATCACTCAACCGGTTCACGTGAGTTGCACTGCTGCCACCTGTCTATACAAACTGCTCAGCAGCAGCAGGTGTCCAGATAAGCAGAATTAAAGCAGTTCAGGTGCATAATGGAATGTTTCTCACAGTTCAGAAATTGACAATCTAGAATAAATCTCATCTTTCCAGTTCATTGGGACCAGGAAGTGATGAGAGAGGGACCTTGCGTTTTCCTCTCCTTCTGAGACTCTAGAAATTACATTTAAAACAGAATTTCCTGAGCTTCTTCGAGAGGGGACGAGATCTGTTCAGAAATGACAGAAAAAACGTCACAGAGTTCCTCCACACCGGGGTTTGAGCTGTACTGCAGCGTGAATCCCCGGATGAAAACAGTTCGCCCATCCTTCTGGAGCGCGCGCTCATTGCCATCCGTTTATAAGTTATAAAGCAGGCACGCATTTATGCTGTGAAACTCACATGCATGCTGATGTGAGCTGGAGCGCGCTGAGTGAGAAAGAAAAAACACGCGCGTCCCCGAGCATGCAAAACGTTGTGTGTTGCTGATGCTGCGGGAAGCAGCTCATCTGTGTTGTGCTCACGTTGTGTGCAGCTGCTCCGTATAAACGCTCGGGAAGCGGGTGCACGTATGAGCCGACGTGCCCTGAAGAGTCGTGTGTGCGCGCCCTCATTCATGCGACGCCTTAAGCCAGGATTGCCGCGGGGGTGCGCGTTGACACTGGTGCGGTCAGGAAGCAGCGCGCGGCATCTGTGGAGCGAAGTTACCACTGGCTCGGTCTGCAGAAACACGTTCATTGTTGGCTGCGAATCACGTGAACTTTTGAGTGATTCCACGAGCTGCAGTATTAATTCAGAAAACTTTCTTCGAGGATGCCAGAGCAGAGCTGCTGTGAGGCTTGGGAAGCTGCTGACGCCGCGGGAGCGCGCGTTGGCACTGGTGCGGTCAGGAAGCAGCGCGTGGCATCGGTGGAGCGAGGTTACCACTGGTTCGGTCTGCAGAAACACGTTCATTCTTGGCTGCGAGTCACGTGAACTTTTGAGTGATTCCACGAGCTGCAGTATTAATTCAGAGAACCTTCTTCGAGGATGCCAGAGCAGAGCTGCTGTGAGGCTTGGGAAGCTGCTGACGCCGCGGGAGCGCGCGTTTGACACCACTGCGATGAAAAAACGTGTGTCGCTCCTGCCGATAGCGAGATACGTTGCTGGGCTCGTACCGCGGTCTCACGTTAACGTTGACGTGAACGGCGGGCGCTGAGAGCTGCGTGCGCGCTTTCATGCCGCGGGAGCGCGTATCGGCACCGCTGACAGTGAATGAAAAACAACCTTAAAAAGGCTCATTCGTGATGAGTGTGTGTGATGGGGCCGCTTGTCAGATAAACCATGCTGACAGCCTGGCTAAAGGACACTTCATAAAATAATGTTATTTCACATCGTGTCATCAAAAAGCAATAAAAAAAAAATAATTACAAATACAAAACAAGTTGAGCAGAGTAAGTAAAGACAGTAGCAGAGTGAAGAAATGTGGTCAGTTTGTCCTCCAGCTGTCTAAGCCTATAGCAGCAAAACTAAGGGACAGCTCAGGAAACCCAAGCCGAAACTAACTATAGGATTTAACTAAAAGGAAAGTCTTAAGCCTAGTTTTAAAACTGGATAATGTGTCAGCCTCACGGACAGAGATTGGAAGTTGGTTCCACAAGAGAGGAGCCTGATAACTGAAAGATCTGCCTCCCATTCTGTTTTTGGAAACTCTAGGAACTGCAAGTAAACCTGCAGTCTGAGAGCGAAGTGGTCTGTTAGGAAAATATGTAACAATTAGATCTGTAATATAAGATGGAGCCAGGTTGTTGAGAGCTTTGTAGGAAGTAGGATTTTGAATTATTTTCAGTCAGGTCATCTGGACAGTTTCTTTGTTTTTGTGTTGAAACGTTTCACCTTCCATGCAGAATGCTTCATCAGTCAAGGAAACACACAACACAAAACTGATTCTTTCCCCAACAGCTTACTCCAAAGTGGAACAAACCAGTTATGTTGGTGCTAAGATGGTGTCTTTGGCACGCCCCCTCCTCCGGTGCTGGCCGTCGTCGACAATCATGTTAAACTGGTTAAAAACCAACAACGTCCATGCTCAATAATCTAGATATACAATCCAACAATTTTCAGTCAGGTCTTCTGGACAGATTCTTTTTTTTGTGCTGAAACGTTTCACCTTCCATCCAGAAGGCTTCATCGGTCAAGGAAACACAGAACACAATGACCTGACTGAAAATTGTTGGATTGTATACCTGGATTATTAAGCATGGACTTTGTTGATTTTGATTTAAATTCTGGATTTGACAGGGAGCCAATGGAGAGGCTAAAACTGGAGAAATATGATCTCTCCTACTAACTCCAGTTAAGACTCTGGCAGCAGCATTTTGGATCAACTGAAGACGTTTTAAAGAAGTATTTGGACACCCAGATAACAAACCAGTGCAATAGTCCAGTCTAGACGTGACAAATGCATGGACCAGTTTTTCTGCATCATTTTTAGATGTTTCTAATTTTAGTGATATTACGCAGGTGGAAGAAGATTAATGTGGAGGTTAAAAGACATGTCCTGATCAAAAATAACACCAAGATTTTTAACATTATAGCTGGAGGACAGATTAATACCATCTAAGGAGGGAGAAACACTGAAAAATTAATTCCTAAGCTGCTCAGGTCCAAAAACTACAACCTCAGTCTTGTCTGTTTAAAAGCAGAAAATTAAGTGTCATCCAGGTTTTTATGTCTTTAAGACATGCTTGTAGTCTAAGTAGCTGATTAGATTCATCGGGTTTAATGGACAAATATAATTGTTTATCATCATCATATCAATGAAAATTTATCCCATGTTGTTTAATAACATTACCTAATGGAAGAATATGTAAAGTAAATTTTGATGTATGAACTGTAACAAGTGTAAAAAGAAATCAAAAGAAATGTTAAAGCTGCTACAAGTGGCACTCTGGAGTTGTTTGACAGAAAACTTTTTGTCCATAAGTAGTGAGAGATGCAGCTAAGTTACAGAAGACAAAAATCTCCACAATTCGACAGATAAATTGTGTAAGAATTGTAAACTCTGTTGGGATAAAAATATTTTCATTGCCAAAAATTTTGGAAAGTTTGGACAACTTAAAAATTAATTTCTGACATCACACAAAGTAAAACATTTTGTCGTTAAAAAAAGTCATAAAATTTAACTTGTAATTGTGTAGGAACAATTTAATGTACCTAACTGCTACTTTATATCGGCCATGTAAAGTCCAGCTTTCTGTGATTTGGCTAAACTTCAAGTGATGTTTCTACTGTGAAGTCTGAACTGCAAAGCTCCAGGTTTTTTTTTGGTCTGAATTGGAAATTCCCTTTGTTCATCTGTCTGTGAATAGTGTGAACATGATAACTTAAAAAATAAGTGAGGTACTGATTTCCATTTTGGTTTGTGGCTGTGAAAGGTTCCTATCAAAAATTGAGTTGTCATGTCAAACTCCAAGATGGACACCATCATATACGTATGTGGTCAGGGTGGCTTGTTCACACGTGTCATGGTGTCCATCATGTACATATGTGAACAAGCCACCCCAATCATTTGGCAAAACTATGCTTTATAGTTTTATATTGCTTAAAAGTATAGTTTCCTCAAATGACATGGGTGGCCCAAGATAAATTTCTGATGGGCATTGACCACCTCTTGGCTTCTTCATTGCACCTGGTTGTGGATAAAATTGCTCCCTCCACTTGCCAAGATCTATCACTCTGCGCTGCCTCGAACAAGAAAATAAAAACCTACCTCGTTTTTCTTAGATGCAATGTAACGCCTACCCACTTAAATATCTAGTACCAAAAACATTAAGGATTACTTGCATTTCTTGTCCAATTCCAATCCAGAAAAACACATCTTGAAAACTACAAACATTCACTATTCAAATCCATCAGTGACGGGACATCGGTGTACTTCTAATTTACTTATTTTGACAACATTCCAATTTATATGTGGCAAGTTAGACACTTAATAATTTTATTTACACAGTCTAATTGTGCACTGATATCAAAAGTCATAGCTCTATATTCCTTATCAAACCACATTTGACATTTTGGGAGTTTCCAAAGTTTAAGGAGTAGCTGATTGGAAATCGAAACAAAAATGGAAGAATAATGCCTAAATCAGGGGTGCCCAATATGTCGATCGCAATCTACCGGTCAATCGCAAAGGTATTATGGTAGACCACATGGCATTAAAAAATAGACGTCAGCCTATCATCCATCCTCACTATGAAATTTGTCACTTGATTGACTTACATGGCAGCCAGTCTGAGGTCCCATTTACACAACGGAAATCACAGCCTTTCTGCTGAGGTTCAGCCATTCATTTACACAACAACAGTCTTCATCCTTTGTAGTGGAGATTCTCAGGAGAACCCCCCTCGGAAGTGTGAAATGCTCCGCAAGTGTGAAATTGCGCATGTGCATTACAGGCAGCTGCAGTCCAAAGTTTTCCTGCACTAACAACAATTATAAATAAATGGCTGAGAACAGAGTGTTTTTGTGCCACTCATCCTTTTTCAGCATGTAGGAGCAAAACTAATAAAATCCAGGGTCCAAAGAGACGTTAGTGTATTCACCAGTTTGGACATAACAGTGATCATGCAGACGCTACATGTGCGATGACTACAGCTGAGCTCTGCATCAGGGTTGCCAGATAAATTTAAACTATCTTATTTACCCTCTCCTTTTCTGTGCACTTGTTCAACAAACACAACACACACCTCATCTTAGAATATTTTGACCCAGCACATATGACAGTTTTGGTCAAAATACTATAATTTTAAAATGACTACAATAGTTCATTATTTCTTATCTGGCAACCCGACTGACACAGAAACTACAACATTTTTGTGTACACTCGCTCATATTTTGTTTATTACCCCCTAATAAACATTGAAATCGTGTAAACGGGTCCTTATAGTAGCTAGATCACTTTGACTTGGTCATTTTAATTAAAAGGAGCTGCATGATGAATAAATGTGGGCACCCCTGGCTTAAATAATAATGATTATGTTTTCGTGTTTATCCATTGGCACCCTTTTATAATACGGTTTAATTTTGATGTTGGAAAATTATTACAACTTAACTTAATTGCAGAGTTGATGCTTTATTAATTTTGGTTTGTAACATGTTTTTTGTTTGCCCCTATTGTTTTTAGCAGAAAGAAAAATTGGACAAGCATTCTCAAGATGGCAAAGGACACTCGCACAAACACAGCAACACCAGTAGCCAACGCTCTGAGAGGAGAGATCACAGCCGCTACAGTCACCATAAAGATTCAGCAACTTCCAGGAATGACAGAAACCTCCAGCACAACAAGAGGAATGAGAAAACTCACAAAGCCGACAGGACCGGGCCGCTAAACATTTGCCTAAAAGAAGAACTGAAAAAGGAGAGGATGCTGATTACAGTGAAACGTGGACTGACCCCTCCACCTCAAACCATCAGAACCAAGGAGGAAAACGAGGAGCTCCCTGTATCGGGGAGCAGGGAAGGCATAGCTGAAGATGCAGACAGCAAGAATAAATCCTCCAAAAACAGCAAAGATAAACACAATGAAAATGCCAGCAGCCACAGCAGCGATGACGAATCAATTGACATAAAACACCCAAAAAAGAAAAAGAAGAAGAAGAAGAAGAAGAAAGGAAAGGATAAATCTTAAGTTTTGTCATTTTTCTAATCCTGGAACAGTGTTAGCATGTGTTTGTTACCTAGGTTTAGAAACCTTTAGGTCTTAGTTTTACTGTTTCACTGAACAAAACTGTTGTTTTGGTTGTAGGTTTTTGATGCTGCGATAAACTGAAGAACTTAATTTACAGTCTGACATGTTGGAAAGTTTTTCTGTCTATAAAAGCCCTCTTTTTTTCTGAATACATTTAATTCAGGGCAGGGTGTTAAAAATGAGAATCAAGAATTGTGTGCTTGTAAAATTGGAAGATCTTTGCACCTAAATACATCTTGGACTGGTTTCATACATCAGCACGAGTTTAAATGTTCTCATCTGGCTTTTGGTTAGTAGGCCTGCATGAACTTTCTCCCATAATGTAATTTTCCTTCTTTTGTGGTAATCAGAACCTTTTCTCACAGGAATATGTTGATACCTGACATGTTTCAAGTATTCTCACTTCTCTTTTCAAATTTCTAAAACTATAAAAGTTTGAAGAAAACCAGTGATTGCTTTTTGTCTAGTTGATCCTCACCGCTAACTTTTTAAATGCATTTTTTTACAGGACCAACAGTGTAGTAGTAAAGTGTAAAATGTGTCTTATAAATTTTTCTTGTGGTCTAGATTTTAATCTAAAATCCAGGTTGACACATGACTGTATCACTTGGTGACCTTGTAAATAAAAAGGTTGTACAGAAATGCACACATTTTATTTAAAGTTCAGTAGTTGTTGCTCAAGTGCTCCAATGATCTTGCACAATGTTCGTCATAACTACCAAACTATGTATTTGTACTGTGTTCAAGACCTGAACAGTCATGATTTTGTTTAACCAGGTACAATAATGGACAGTTGCAAACATTAACGGGCTGTGTGTTTATGACGAGTTCATATTGTAAAGTTTTTGACAGTTGTAGATGAAAATGTTGGGAAAATCTTTGTTCAGAAGCTGGAATCAGTAGTTTATTTGTCATTCAGTGTGACAGGCTTACCAAAGACAGATTTAGCACGTTCAGAACCAAAAAGCCAACTTGCTATAATTATCAAGCAGTGTCAGAAATGTTCGTAGCACATTATTTAAAGGTTTGTAACTGATAGGCAAATTATTGAACATCTGTTTTTACTCCTCTTCATCTCAGCCAATGAATTGGAGGCCAATTAAGGCCAATCTTAATTTTATCACTGGATACATTGTTGATATGCACAAGAAGGGACCTTTAGAGTGCTGCAAGATTTCAAGTCCATTAATATAATAATAGTGTACTGTATTAACAAATGTGCTCTTAGTGATTGTGCTTCTAATTGCCTTCAAGTCATTCAGAATATCAAGCACCTGGTGTGCTGTGCTCTGAAAATTATTTACATTATCTTTACCCCACAAGGCAAGATTTTGCAGGAAGCTATAGACTGAGGAAGATTTGTCGTTTTATTATTGTTTTCCAATTGACTATTCTAAATTAAGCCTCATGTTTTGATGTACACTACATGAACAAGTATTTGGCCACACATAGCCATCACACCAACAGAACTGTATGGAGTTGGTCTTTCTTTTGCAGCTCCAAAAGCTTCCCCCGTTCTTAGAGGCTTTTCCACAAGATTTCAGTGTTTTTGTGGCAATTTGGGTTCATTTGTTGTGTGCATCATTTTGGAGATCAGGCACTGATGTTGGACAAGAAGTCCTAGCCCTCAATTCCAGTTTCAGTCTATCCCAAAAGTTATTGGTGTGTGGGCTAGTCAAGTTCTTCCACACTGAACGCATCAAACAGCATATTTATAATCCATGCTTTGTGCACTGGAGCACATGCACATTGGAATATAAAAGGGTCTTTCTCAAAGTGTTGCCAAAAAGTTGTAAGTATAGCGATGTCCCAAATGTTTGATTATGCTAAAGCATTAAGACTGCACATCCCTTGAGAATATAGATCTAACCTTAACCCTGACTGAATAGCCTGAATTAAACTGGTGTGGTCAGCCAAATTGTGAAGTTTATTTTATAGATAAACTTTGTAAATGAGACTTGAGATCTTAGTTTTTTAGCAACACGCAGCAGATTTATTATTTCCTTTGCAAAGGGAGAACGGCACAAATACTGGTGTCCTGTAGTGTGTTTCTTGCATGGGTTATTTCCAAAGCTTTTGTAAATAGTAAACTGATAATCATGAAACAAAACCTGATGTCAGTTTGTATTTCCAAGTTAGGGGTATGGGAACTTAAGACGTTCAGAAAAATAAAGGTTTGTTCTAAGGAAAGAAGCTGAACTTGCCATATTACTATAACCAAATGTTACAATAAAACGTATTCTTCACTTTGAAAAAAACTACCCTACATACTTTTTGTAAGAGTTGACGATTACCTTTTGCTAATATTTTCTGCAGTTTTAGGCAGAAGTTTGCTGACGACTTGGTACTCCTAATGTGAGCTGGGAAAAGTAGCCATTTCCCCCACAAAGGTAAGTGTCCTTACAGTGTAAAAATCTTTGTTGTAAAAAGTGTACCATGAAAAATGTAGTGTAAACGGATGTTTTAAAGTTCAAGAGCTATTTTCAGTTCATCATCATCAACTTTATTTATAATGCGCTTTAACACAGCCACAGCTGAAACAAAGCGCTGAACATCAGTTAAAAACAAGAAAAGAGCATAAAAACAAAGATACAAAGACGAAGCCAAACAATGAACAAAAAACTCAATTTAAAACAATAAAACGAGTTAAACATAAAATCAATACCAATGAAAATGAAGTAAAATCAAGTCTCGGGTTGAAGGTCAATAAGTAGAGATGAGTTTTCAGACGGGTTTTAAAAATGGACAGAGAGGGGGCCTGTCGAATGTGCAAAGGCAGAGCGTTCCATAACTAAAGACAATTCATCCATTTATTTATGAAAGAAATTGGACTGTCTTTTGGACATTTTGATTGCTGGTATTTTGTCTAATTGGCACCGTTCTTTTGCTACGTGATGTAATGTGAATAATGCACTTCAATAATTTCTCGTATTTTTTAGAAACATCTAAAATGATGCAGAAAAACTGGTCCATGCATTTGTCACATCTAGACTGGACTATTGCAATGGTTTATTATCTGGGTGTCCAAAAACTTTTTTAAAATGTCTTCAGTTGATCCAAAATGCTGCTGCCAGAGTCTTAACTGGAGTTAGTGAGAGAGATCATATTTCTCCAGTTTTAGCTTCTCTCCATTGGCTCCTTGTCAAATTCAGAATTGAATTCAAAATCTTACTTCTAACCTACAAAGCTCTCAACAACCTAGCTCCATCCTATATTACAGATCTTCTTGTTCCATATTTTTATATTGTATAATTATTATATTTATATAATT